GGAAGGTGCTTACATTTGTTCAGGCTATTCAAAGGTTGTCATTTTAAAACTAACATCCCATTGAAATCTCACAACTTGGACATAGTAGCGGGACACTCCACACTGTTACATGGTCCTGGCATTAGTAACAGATGGGTCAATGAAAACATCACTGAAAAGAGCTATAGCAGTGGTAAAAAACATTCAGATGTTCCATGACGTAATAAGTAGGCAGATATTCTCCAGTCTACCACCTGGTTCTATAATGACCGATATACATGTGGTTATCTCATACGATCACACAATGTAATACAGTAGGTCATTTATTTACCCGAATGTGCACAGCTTACGAATTCGACTACAGAAAAAACGACATATTTCTACTTATTCTGATAGGAAAAACATTTTTTTTTTTATTTTTTTTTTTTTAAATCGTGTTCGATACTGTAGTTACAGAAGTATCGAAATGATTTATAGGTACATTGCGACAGAATAACGGAAGTCCTGCCAAGAACCTACGTGCACCTATTAAGAAAAAATACTGCTGTTTAGTATGTGTAGACTGCCGCCTTGTCGATATCACTTACATAATTAATGTTAAGCTTGATGTTTATCGGTCTTTAATTATTTTGTATGATTCTAGTTATTGAACTTTATCAAAACGCTCACAATTCAGTTAACAGTTTTGATAGATACTCTATCATACAGAGATAGTAATAATAATAATAATTTGAGGTTCTTATATACCGTTTTATCATAACCTAGTTCAGTTCTTAGGTCATCTCAAAGCGGTTCACAAGTTATTCTCCGTGGCTATAGTGCCTTTGCAACCAGCCAATACCTTTCTCAACTCCCTGGGGAGCATACAGTCGGTGCTGCCATTTCGACGCTCACAGCTAGCATTCTGCAATTCTAGCACTGCCTAACCGCGTACTCATTTACAGCTGAGTAGACTGGAAAACGCGGAGTAAAGTATCTTGCTCAAAGATACAACACAGAGCCATGCGGTGGCTCGAACCCGCAACCCTTCGGTCACTGGCCCGGTGTCCCACCACTAGACTATCATACCTCTGGTATAGTCTGTGTATCGTCATAAGAGAAAGGATGATTATTAAGTGTGCACGTTTTTATAAGAAATCCAATGATACATCAAGTATGTTCAACGTAATTTGTAAATATACTGTTTATGTAATTGCTCAGTCTTTAGTGAGTTTACTATATTGACGATTTTTTAGTGATTTAAACACACATCACTTACTTTCAATTTTCATTAATCGACAGCTTATTTGAATATTCACTGGATAACACATAGAATGAATGCACATTTTAGAAGCCCTCTTATTTTTTGCCCATCGACCTGTAGTTTCAGACAGGAATCAATCATGTCTTAGCTTAGTGTGTTATCTAACCCTGAAATTAGTTTACATTATCTCATGCTACTGAAACAGAGTCACTATCGAATCAGAGTTAAGAGAGAAATCTGGCCTTGTCTAAATGAAATTGAGTGCTTTCTCACGTGTGCTGTTAGATATCTGTGACTGGAAAGGAACTATTGCATATACGGTAGAGGCTTTATCTCGGGTGACAATTTTTTTTGGAAGTGGGAATGCTGATCTGGCACAAAATATAAATTACTTTCAGATTTTTAAATAAACATAATTAAAATCGGGAGTTATTATCTAAAATGGCTATAACTAAAGGTTGGAGCTAGCTTAATTGAATAAAACAAATTTAATTTTAATTACTAGTACTTCATAAATGAAAACAAATGTTATAGAGACTTGTATAACATTTACATTCAACTATTAAGCTGAACTATACCTGAACACTGTAATAGACAATAACGCTACAGTCCATATATGGGCATGTGTAATTAACACGTATTGATTCTTGCTGTGAAAAGGTGTTACAATTCCGTGTGAATATTTCAAAGGTATTGATTCAAGTAGCATCATGTTTTTTGTTGGTTAGCGTTTTACGTTTAACCCAGCACTTAGGTTTGATATCACCAGATTCCAGCACATAATGACATCAGTTTCTAGATGAGGTTTTGAAGGCCATAACGGAGTGNCTCCCCTCCCCCTTTTAAAAAAACAACAACAAAAAACTACCGTAATCTGCTAATATTGTATTGAATATGGCAATTTATCATATTCATTAATTAAACACATACACACCCTGACACTTTTACTATAAAATATACATGCTCCAAGTCAGGAACCGTTTTATTAGTGCATTTCACAAGGGAAATGAGGTACTACTCACATCATTACGTAGACACAACAGTTAAGTTTGTTATAGTGTCATAGTAATAAAACGACTTTTCTTTACTTAAAGGTCGGGGGAAAATATATAAAAAAAAAAAAATGGGTCTAAATGCGTTCTCTGGCCTTCCAAAAGTTATACGGCAATATGTTGGTCGGATTCTGCTTGCAATGTCTAGTTTTGACCACTGAAATCTCGCGGAAGCCCCGCGTAAATTTAGCGCAAATCTGTTTATATATGTCACGTGGTTGTTTCGAAAGTGAGGCAGTGAGAATAACAACAATAGCACGCCGTCATGTGCCATGTCGGACTCAACTAGCGGACAAGACAGCAATTACTATACAGAGAATGATACATGCCTTTTTCCATATCACACCCAGTATCAACCCGAGACTGCAATAACAGCCCAAGGGCCGAAGGCCCGATGGCTGATATTGGTCGAGGGTTGATACTGGCTGTGATATGGAAAAAGACGTGTTTTATTCTGTTTATTACATACACACTAATAAAAACTAGTATCTTATGATTTATTTATATTTTTGAAATATTGAAAAACTTCTTTTTTTTTTCAAAAGGGGTGTGATATGGGTTTTGCGGGCTGATACGGGTTTTGGGGTGTGATACGGCGGGGGCTGATACGGGTTTTTCGGGTGTGTTACGGCGAGGGCTCATATGGGTTAGAGCAATTGTGTCGTATCGCATGACTTTTGCATGCATCTTTTTCTTTCGCCGCGATGTTTACATTTGGCCTTGTTGATGACGCGCGTTCGGTAAAATTACATCACTGGTCTGGGTCGATTGAGAGTTTTAGACTGTCATGATCAGGTGACGATTAAGGATTTTCTTTAATCGGTAAATTGCATGAGAAGGTATTTTAAACATGTGTATGCCATTTTAGCAAATATGACATTTTCCCCCCGACCTGCCCCTTTAAACTGTGATAACTGTAAAGTAGACCACAAAAAGTTACATTTTTGTGTCTTACTACCGACATCGACCACAGCAACCTGGTGATTAAAGGGAAGCAACTCGTATCAAAAGGTCGTTTACCACCTATTTGTGGGTTAGTTTTGCGTATAATGCGTTGTCTTATTTTTCGTGTGTCCTTGAAAGTTAAACACAGTAAAATCGACTTCAAAAGTTCCTTAATATGAAACATTGTAATTATGAAGTTAGAGTGCTGGGCATATTAAACATTATCTTATTTCCTTTTTCTTGCAAATTGAACATGCTACAAAACATACATCTAGTGTAAAGAAAATTGAAAAATAAACTGAGAGCTACTTCCTCTCCCCTTTAGGACTGTACGTCACAGTTGACATGGACACATATTAATGAGGACAGATGGATAAAATGCTACAAAGATATGAGGATAAAACTGTTTCAAATTATGCATAAAGCACATCGGCTGTAAGCTATTGTTATTTTACTGGTACATTGGAAAAGAAGTGAAGACGAAAGGACAATCCACATAACAAAACAAAACGGAAAAAATGTGAAACCTCACTGGTGTAAAAACAAGCAGATAAACAAATGAAATAACAAGTGTGTGTTGCTGATGGTAAGCCTCGAGGCATTTAAGTTGTATTTTTCGTAACTATATGTTTTTATAAGTAAGGATCATCAATAGTTGACAATTGTATTCTTGTTAAGTTTTGATTGTTAAACGCCGGGCTGGTTTTACAAATACAGACACTGAACTCGCATAGAAACAAAATGATTTGTTTAGAAACGACACTTCCACAAAATATTACCCCAACGATAGTTTTTATAAGAAACACAACACTAAACCCCAGCGATATGTTAGGCTTCTACAGCATTTGCTGCAAATAACAAGCTACAATAATGAATAAATTAAGGAAAAAATTAGTATCATGATCAAATATAACAATACTGGTATAGTAATAATGGTGCGTTACGTGTTTCTAGACCTTTATGGTAATAAAATGTAAAACTGGAAAGACTTAACAGTAGAACACAATTGAATAATATTGAAATTAATTTGAACTGACTTTTTCTTCATGAGGGTTGATTAATCAAAACAGCATTTGGCTTTTCATGACTGTGCTATGCTATCGAAAGAAAAGGACAGAAAAGGTGTGATCTGTCACTTGGATAAATGTAAGAAACAAGGGCATAAATACTATGATAAATTGGTTGTGATTATGCAATCATATGTCATGTCAAATAAGACCGAGCACCATTCCAATAGCGGTTTAACATAAACATTCAAAAGTATAACAATACCGAGCCAATCAAAATATATTAATTAACGGTACAAAAAAAATGATGCAATTTACTTAAAATACAATTTTTGAAATGTCCCACTGAGTATAAACGATTTACACCAGATTAAAAGGATTATTCAAAATTCTTAAACCAGATTATGATATGGTCGTCCTACGTTTGCCCAAATTATAATCGGTTTGAAAGAGAATGGTTCAAGATCACTGCACCACTGCCAAGATCAATATCTATGCACTGGCGAGATTTTTGTTAAAGCCTGACTATTATAGCATTAAAATCCGACAAGAACCCAGTTGCGGAATATTCCAGGGTTTAAATCAGTTATAAAACAATATGAAAATCAGTAAAATCAACAATTGTGTTTTACAATATGGAGCAGGATTGTAAATATGTAAGTGAAAAAATGACAAGTCTGGAATTTGGACCCTGAATTTTCGAATTAGTGATGATCGCTCTACTCTACAGTCACCAGTAGTTACCTACCACAGTTCCGTCAACAACAATTACATAAAAATAAAGATCAAGAAGAAACCAAACAACCCTCATAAGTCTGAGCTAAGTAGCCCTGAGCTAGTACCCCTTAAAACAACATCGCGGGGTAAACATGTCTAGGGAAGAGACATTAACACGTGTTACTGATTTTTTTCGTAACAAACTAATACTGTACATAGGATTTTACCGATTGTGAAAAGACTCATGTAGCACAACCAAAAGGTGTTCATATGTGACGTTGCAATGACATGTACGGTATCTACTCTGTCACTTTCATCAGACAAATGACAAGTGAAACGTATGTACTCAAACGTGGACATTATGTATGAGTTGTCCACAAATCGATGTCGATTCGGCTACGCTGTGCAAGTAAATGTAGTTGTTATATATGCACCGAAATGACTCGATTCAGCTACGCTTTGTTTTATTGTCTAATGAATTTAACAGAGAACATTTTGACTAGTCATCGAAACGTCACATGTAAACACTTTTTGGTTGTGCTACATGAATCTTTTAACAATCCATACTTACCAACTATTGTTTAGTACCAACTATTGTTTAGAAACAGGAGTTTACCCATTTTTGTTTTATGTACAATATTTATCGTTAATTTACAGTGTTGTGGCTCCGTGTCCAATGTAATGTCTGTCACCTGATTGGACTGAGTAATCATATGACGAATTCACGAGCTCTAGTTTCTTTCTCCAGAGGATTCAGCCAACTTCGCATTCCTCTTCGCCGCATACATTTTAAGAAAATCAACTGTAGTGTTTTTTCCTTGCTGAAATACGAAAAATGTATTCACGCTGTATTCATCAAACAGTATTTAACATCACGATTCAAACACATTTAACGTGAGCATATGACGCTATGAATAACATACAAGTGATATACATTAAAGTATAAATATCCTCATTGTACATGTAAGTAAGTCCTCGAATCTTTGTCAGTTATCCTTGACGATCTGTCATACATTTAATTGAACATAATTGACATCAAGGACAGTTTGTTTTTTTACTTTTGAAATAACATTTTGTTATGCTGTTATAATAAAATTTAATAATATGTTATTTACATGGTTACATTTTTTACATATATAGTAAATATGTCCCTCCTGTTAAGGGAATAAAAATCTTAAAAGCAGGAAGGGAAAATCGGATCGCCATGTTTTTTTAACACAGCATCGTTAAATGTAGGGCGAAAAACGAACAAAGAAAATATTAACATTGATATTTGTATAACCGACAGTAAAGCAGAACGTATGATGACAACGAAGAAACAAGGCACACTGACGGGTACAATCAAAAACATCGGTCTTTTTATCAGACAAGGATATAAAATGTATACCAATGCTATCATGACGGCGACCATTAAGAATTTCCATTGTTTCTCCAAACCCTGTGTTGTTTGTGTATTCCAACAATTTTCATCACATAAGATTTTATCAAACGTAGGAAGGAATATAAAACGTGAATAATTTAAAAACATTTCTATTAGAATAAGTATAACGTTGTTATATAAAGTGTATATAATTGTATTGAAGGACACGTACCTCCAGCATGAAAGCAATGTCCTCATCTTCAAGGTCGAAGTCTGCTGTTTCAATATGCCCCGTATTTATACCAACAGAACGCTCAAGGTCATCATGCTGATATAAAACGTAAAAAAAGATATGGGTAATTAGGTTCACTCTCTTACACTAGTTCCTCGAACATCCTTCGGTTCAAAACAACAATACAATTCAAAGGAATTACACAGTATTTTCTGTTTTGAAATAGCGATTGTACCGCCACATACTGTTCAGTCAAAAATGAGAGGGGGGGGAAAACATTTACAAAATGTTTGAAAAGGAAACAAAGTACCTCCATGTACAGTCGTTTGAGGTTTAGGAGCATGGTATCAAATACGGTAAGGGCGTAGGATGTAAGGCTTGTAACATCCTGTCGTTTGTATCCCAGGTATTTCTGGTTCACATCCAGTCCTTTCCGCTCTACGTAGCGCATTATTTCCTGGAACCTCACCTAGTAACATTTAAGAGTTGGTTGTAGTGATAATATATTTATAAGTTTAACTGAGTGGTTTTAATCACGTTTATCACATTCGTCTAAATATCAGCACAGCTGAACTTGATATATGGGGGGGGGGGAGAAAAAAGCATTGCCGAACTCCTCGAGCGATCAATGTTTTATTGATTACATTTACTAACACGTCATTGTTTGCCACTTCATTAACATTCCATTCCGCAGCAATGCAATCAGACCAAAGTATCTGATGGAAAAATCGGCACATAATGCATTTCTTTCGATCATTATGTCAATCGAAAAATCATAAAAATAAAGGTGTGTGCATGTTGTCGTTTTGTTTTTTCACTACTGAACAATACTGTTTGAAAAAATAGATAGACACTATGCAGGTCAACTTCGGTCGCGCCATGTGTCTCGCCCTGCTATGTTTTAGCAAAGGTGACCTGACCTTAAAAGCTTGTAAACCCCTTTGCGAATCCCCTGGTATACTCTAGTAATGCTGACTCTGACGTTGATCTTGAACTTAGAAAGTTTAAACCCCAATGGCTCATCGACATATCACAGTGTATTACCGTGTGGAATTTAAAAAAATACTCTTTTGTATTCGGAGATCATCTCCGATGCGGGACACTAATTAATTAATAAGCACATCAGCAACTTATTGGTGTCTTTTCCGAGTTTCAGGACTTCTGACAAGGCAAAGGATTATTGCTGAAATAATCTATCATCTATTATTTCCCGCTGGCTTTCGGCACTTGGTTGATAAAGCCAGTTTCAACAAAAGGCTTATTTGAAGAGTCATGTCATCTTTAAAGGTAAGCTTTGACAATACTATCTCTTTTGATGTTGGTTTAAGATAAATAACATTACAAATATCACTAGGATAGCATATTTTTATAATCAATTTTGAAAGACACTTGGGCATGTTCTGAGGAATATAATACAGCCAAAGTTTTATTAAGAACCAACCACGGGATGTTCAAAATATTTCACAACACATGTGGTCTCTAAATACAGGTTCTGTTCACAATAAAAAAATACTTCAAAGCGGACATTAAAAACGGTCTGTTAGTGCAAATGACATTTAAATACAGGTGGTCAAATAATCATCTTGACTGTAAATCTTCACTTAGAGTAATCAACATGTTGGATCATTGACCACACTATGCTAATACGTAATCTAGAAAAAGCAAAGAATGGTATACCACAGAGTCCATGCACAAAAGAAAACAACAGAAACTGACAAAACAACAAACTTAAAGCTCAACAAAAACAAAAACAGAAGGCAAACCATTGTTATGGATGAGGCTGAAGGTAATCTTCATGTGTATTCAACATTTGCTATCTGTCATTATGCTTCTTGTTTTCAGCAAAAGTGCGTTGAAATTTCTCCTGTGACAAACAGTCTTGTTAATTTCACTTTCGGTAATACTAAAAACGCCTTTGTCTATCGCAGTAAAACAGAAGGATTTATTATTTCAGATTTCATAATTGTTATAAGCAGGTTGAGATTACAACCTCATGCTTAATCTGTTATAAGTCTTCTTATCACATCCGCGAAAATAAAGTAGGTCACCGACGCTCTAATACAGAGCAAACTGGTGAACAGTTAATGATAGATATGGTAAAAGGAAAGTTGTAAAATGCCTTTCAAGAAGATGGAAGTTACTCATGTCATGGACACAATAGACAAACTGTTGAATAATTGAAAATATATAAATAAAAATACTACCTGTCCATCACTGTTTTCGTCTAGCGTTTCAAACAAAGCCTTTGATCCAGCATGGTCACCAAACAGAATGTGTTTGTCCTCGTCAGGAAAGTGGTCCTGTTCATATAAGTTAGTTTTCACTTATGTCAAATTGCCTTCTATTCAACAGTGCAGTTTGTAATACAATGACGAATGCTAACAAAATAAATCGACTACCAAGTGAACATTGCTGATAGTGAATCACCAAATAAATCAAATAGCATACGTCTACAATGTACATACAAACGTTACAAGCCTTATTGGTTTCAGGAAAATTAAATCTTAAACATGGACCTGTATATCTACTTACGTAGACCTGCTGAAATTCTTGGTAATTGACCTTTCCGTCGTGGTTTTTGTCATATTCATCTACAAGCTTAATAATTAAAAAAATGCAGATAGTTATGATAATTCAATAATTACTTTGACATCATTATTCAGTGATTATTTCGCAGTGTGAAATTAATTAAAAGTATCCAGCAGGTGTCGCGTGATTGAACTAGCAACATTCATGAAGGAACTGTTTATGCATTTAATCTGAAAAACTCAAACATATGTTCTTTATACATGTAGCTCTTATAATTGAAATATAATATCAGTATCATATCCTACCGGAAGGAAGCGATTGACAGCATCAGCGATACGTTTTCGTTCCCTGGCCTGCTCAAGAAATTGTGTTTTTCGCCTCCTATTTAACGTAACATTTGGATTTTACTACCATTAAAATAATACATAAAGATTAATAACTTTCAAAGTTATCATTAATTTGTTGTAATATGTATATAATAGTTTACCCTTAAAACCGAAAATCAAAATGTATAATTTGATACATTATATTCAAACGAAAATTTGTTGTTTCAGATTAAATAAGTGCTTATTTATCTACAAACCTACACTGATAATGTTCTCATAGTATCTGTTAATATTCATTAATGTGAGCTGGAAAGATTATGAATGAATCGTACACAAAAACACGAATTTGCTCTAATGAAGATTTTATCTGTCATTTCTACCAATATGCTATGCAACAACATTTACACACAGAAGAGAAGATGGTTCTATGAATACATTTCGAGTTCTGAATAACTTATAACTGACATAAAATCTACATACGAAAGCAATTTTACATGGATCTTACCTGTTAAGTGAAGAGTTAGACCGAGCAAGTACTGGCGATCGCTTCTCCAGATAGAACTTGAAGTTGTCAGCTTCAGCTTCTGAATACTTAAATATAAAATGAGATCAATGACACGCTGTAAAGACATATTTTCTTTGATTGTTGAAATTACGTTAGATGTGATACATGAACCAGCTGGTTATTATTGAATAGCGTTAAGTTGTCGATGGATAACCGACCAATTTAGAACAGCGTGTGACCTAATGTTAAATGTTTTCATGTGCCAAAAACAAATTCCTATTCCTATGGTAGGAAATACAAAGGCTACTTTATTAACAGTTATTTCTAAATGTTATATTAACGCCATGCTTACCACAAGAAACCCAAGGGTTTTGTCCGACCGTTCCCCAAATCTGTGTGCTTTACTCATGACAATAGGAAGTTCCTTTAGATTATATAATCTGCGGATGAAAGCATCATTTGGCTTCATAGACAGCCACCAACCTGTAGATAAATATGGGTTTATTTATGATGGTACATATATTGTCAATGTGATATTCTTACTACGTAAAATAAAACGAGCTAATGCATAATTTTGAGTAATCTCCAGCCCACAAGACCTGCCTCAATGGTCATCAATTAAAACGGCATTTTGACCAAATGTGTTGCAGAAAATATTTAACCTTTTGGGGCACATAGTGACGCCTACGATCTGGTAGACATAAATGTTGGTATCTGTTTTGTTTTGGTGTGTCCTCACAATCTTTTGTTGTCGTTTTGTAACTAGTTTGTTACTTGTTTGATATATTTTATACGTTTTTATTACACTAAGATGTTAGACACCTGCTAAGTTTTTAAACATATAGAACTCGTGTGAACAATTGATTTTGTTTTACATCATGGTCGATAAAGATCGGTATTGATACTTACCATCGAAGCAGTGGATTGGGAAGTTACACAGAATTCCTCCGTCAATATACATGTTGGATGATGCACGTGCATTGTGGTTGTACTTTACGACCTGGAACATGCCTGTAGAATAATATCAAGGCAATTCATTAAAGGGTGAAAACCTGTCACCTAATCACACCAAAATGATCGACCGAATTTCACCAGGCCTTTATACATTATTATTTTTTTATGGCTAGTGCTACTATGCATCATACATTACATTTGTTCCATGGTGAAGGGAAAAAATAACACTGCTTGATTAGAAATAATATCTGTACGGACGTTCACCGAATGAGAGTGTCACGGTATACAGTAGTAGTCGCTAAGAACATCAATTAGCAGTTCTGTTAGTCATAGCAATATCAGCATGTATTGTATACACAAAACTATTCTTATATAACACAAAATTACGCAATTAGAATAACAACATTTGTTCGACCCTTTATACCAAAATACAAAAACATTCTGCAGGTATTCAGAAATATTGACTATATTGTGATGATGTTAATTAATACCTGGAATTGACATGGACATGAGCACAGCGAGTCTAACGGGCATATCCGGTGTGGTTTTAGGATGGCAATACTCCTCAGACATGTTGTTGACGTTAGTGACAACAACGCAAAGTTCTTTACCGGTCCTGTCGTAAAGCTAAAGCAGATGACGAAGAACAGGTATACTTTATACATAAAGTTACTTATACAATCAAATAAGCTATAACCGAATGGTAATTTGAAATGTTTAAGCACGTCCATGAATGTGCCTTCGTGCAAGGCCAAAGACCCGAATATCAGAATGATAAAGTGTGAACAAGGAGGTCAACTTTAAGATAATCATCAAGTTTGTCTGATTAACATGTATAACTAAATATAATGGCATTAAAACATTCACAAAGGAAAATTTGTAAAGAGAATAAGATAGAATTAGAGGGACTATTTGTTTAAAAGCGAGCAAATATTAAATGAACGGGACTGATACCTATGTAAAATAATGCATGTAAACGAGAGGGGTTAACAAAAACCACCAACATAGAAGGTTGAGAGGAGATATGATCCAAGTATATAAATTAACATATGGAGGATATGATCGAGTTTTCACAGAAGGATTTTTAATTCCAAATAGTAACAAAAGAACAAGAGGACACATTTTGACACTAATAAAACGAAGGAGTAGACTAAACTTGACTTAAATATTCTTTCAGTGAGCGTATTGTTAATGATTGAACTCCCTTCCAGATGCCGTGGTTACGTCACCAACAGTCAAAACATTTGAATCCCGATTGGATAAACACTGGGGACAACCTGCATGCTTTTTTTCAACCACGAGATAGATAACAATGAATTTATTCATGTTCGGGACTTCATCATATACACTGATGTTAAACTTTGTGATCTGGATATATAGGCATGCCTGCGTCCAGTATTATTATTATTATTAACCACACAAACACTTACAAAAATGTATATAGGCTTTCGATACACAACAAAACAACAGTGGTTTTACAGGTTGTGATATTCAATTAAAATAAACTGTATACCTGCTCGAAAGTGACATCAGCACTGCCAGTTTTATTGCGTAGCTTATCACCAAGCCACTCGTTGATTTGTGTGGCAGGACTTAATCCGTACCCCAATATAAACCTCGGTAAGCATGTAAACCATCTCCAAAGAAATGAGCCATCTGGAAACAAAATATCAACATTAATGGGATAAATTAAAAAAGGGAGAGTACCCAAAACGTGACACTTGTGGGAAATAGTTTTCACTACATGAAACTTTATATAGATTACACTGTACATCGGCTTTATTTGTTGCTGTTCTTTGTTGCAAATACAGTTAAAGTTTAGAATTAAGAATTTCTTTTACGTGCCAGGCTTTTTATTTGAATATAATTTTGAGGAAACATTTTTTTAAATCCGATGTAGTTTGCAGACAAAACCAATTCAGAAGCTTCTTTCTGCTAATTGTGATCATTAAACCCTCAGTATTAACAAAATACCAAAGTGTCCCTTTCAGGGTCCAGATACACGTGTTAAAGAACCTACGTTATCCTGTTAACATTTTACGTTCTCTTTAAAGAACCTCTTTGCTGAGATATCAACTTGTAACAGAAAAAAAATATTGACGGTATTTGTTTATAAAAAACGAACAAACATTTTTGAATTGTTACTACGGTATAAAATAAATTGAAATTCAGCTGGATACTTTGGGTACACTGGCGTTAGCAGTCAGGCTAAGGAGGTTGTACCAATTATGTAATACATAAGCATGGCGACATGTTTTGATCGTTAATCTTTGACATGTCAAACAACACGAGTTTATCGACATAGCCACATAAACAAAGACAGTCAATTTGAAAACGATTGTCGTGTACAGACCACGTTATGTTAATTTATGTGGGTTGTTTTTTATATGCTTTGGTTAAGAGTTTACTGATTCACATGTCAGTTATACTCGATACTTAAGAACCATGACGTTTGTTTGATTCATGGTGAGCAGCGTGTTAAAAACACACTGATCAGCTGTTATATATAATAATCATAATAATAATAATGTATTGAGTAAACATTCATTGCCAGGTTCGCATTGACTACAAGGAAGTACAAATAATATGCTTATCATTCAAATATTTTGATTATTGATTATTAAGAACTTAAAAATATATTTTTAAAATCATTACTTGCTGGACTCCTATTACATTTGTATATGGTGTAGCTGCTTTTATATGGTTTGTGATTGTTTAAGCTTTGAAAAGTTCATTTAACAAGAAAATGAAAAAAAGAGATATGCTATTAAAAATGGACGATTTATCTAACAAACCAGTATGCCAAAAAAGGAGGCGTTCAAGAAAGTCAAGTAGTTAATTTGCCAAAGGAAATGTTTGATAATTTCAAATTGTCAAAAAACAAAAGAAGGTGTATGAAGTATTCAAATAACATACCAACACAAACGTTTATGTAAAAGTAAAGTAGTATATGCATGAAACAGTCTGGTAGTCATTACACAATAAAAACCAACATCATTGTAACAGTCAAAGTAGTCTATCAACAAAAAAGAGATGTATGTTACATTCCGGCAGTCTATCCACAAAAGGGAAATGTATGTTACATTTCGGCAGTCTATCAACCAAAGGGAAATGTATGTTACATTCCGGCAGTCTATCCACAAAAGGGAAATGTATGTTACATTCCGGCAGTTTATCCACAAAAGGGAAATGTATCTTACATTCCGGCAGTCTGTCCACAAAAAAGGAAATGTATGTTACATTCCGGTAGTCTATCCAAAAAAGGGAAATGAATGTTACATTCCGGCAGTCTATCCACAAAAGGGAAATGTATGTTACATTCCGACAGTCTATCAACAAAAGGGAAATGTATGTTACATTTCGGCAGTCTATCCACAAAAGAGAAATGTATGTTACATTCCGGCAGTCTATCCACAAAAGTGAAATGTATGTTACATTCCGTCAGGCTATTCACAAAAGGGAAATGTATGTTACATTCTGGCAGTCTATTCACAAAAAGGAAATGTATGTTACATTCCGGTAGTCTATCCACAAAAGGGAAATGAATTTTACATTCCGGCAGTCTATCTACAAAAGGGAAATGTATGTTACATTCCGGCAGTCTGTCTACAAAAGTGAAATATATGTTACATTCCGGCAGTCTATCCACAAAAGGGAAATGTATGTTACATTCCGGCAGTCTATTCACAAAAGGGAAATGGATGTTACATTCCGGTAGTCTATCCAAAAAAGGGAAATGAATGTTACATTCCGGCTGTCTATCCACAAAAGGGAAATGTATGTTACATTCCGGCAGTCTATTCACAAAAGGGAAATGGATGTTACATTCCGGTAGTCTATCCACAAAAGGGAAATTAATGTTACATTCCGGCAGTCTATCTACAAAAGGGAAATGTATGTTACATTCCGGCAGTCTATCCACAAAAAGGATACATTTGTAACAGCAAGGTAGAGTATCCACCAAAAAGGAATAGTAGTAACAGTCGGGCATAGAATCCATCCAAAAGGAGATGTAGCAGTCTGGTAGATTATCAACCAAAAACGAGATGTAACAGTCAGGTAGAGTGTCCACCAAAAACGAGATGTAACAGTCAGGTAGAGTATCCACATGAAAAGGGGCTGCTCCACAGAGGGTTATTTTGTCACTAAGTATCCAATAGGTCTATCCAACAACAACAAAAGTGTGTGTAACAGTAAAGTAGTTAAAAAAGGTGTATGTAATAATTAAGTATTCTAAACGCACAGAATTTCCGAAGCTTCTCACGCTGTACAAGTAAAACGTGTTTAGATACCAATGCGTCAGTGATCGTTACAGCCTTGAATCAAAGATAAAAGAAAACAGCAGGATCATCATGGTGAATCTTAGCGTGTTGATACAAAATAAAACTTTGTACTTATGCTAAACCTTCCGTTAAATATACTATTACAGACCGAGCATGAAGTTTTTGGAGAGGTCGTTCTTCATGAATGTTTCGATGTCATGTGAATTGTATCCGGCTGAGAGCAAGGCGGCAGTGATAGCACCGGCACTGGTGCCAGCAAAGCGTTTGATTTGTGGAAACAAACCTATATTTTCAAGTACCTGAAAGTAGAAATTATGAAATATTTATCACATCACTGTAGTAGAAAATCGCATACAGGTGTATAACTGGATGTCACCATTATATAGAATACCGAATATTGTTGTCAATGTTTACAAAAATAGACTACATAAAAAGCTAGCTTTTGTTTTGTAGACATAGATTTGTAAATGGCCAAACATGTTGTCTCAAACCAAATTCGATTTTTCTTTTAAATATGAAGCCCACATAGTCCACTTCATCATGTATATGCCAAATTTGATACATGTACTATTACAGGGGTTATTCATTGTACAAAAATATCCCCTATGGCCACTGTACACTCTTACCAATATACCCTTAATATAACGTCATTGCTTAGTTCAAATTTTTGAGGTTAATTTATTAAGATAAGTAGGTAATAAATTGACATTTCCGGAAAACAGTGCTATAAAATCGTCATACTAAAAAACCTGAGTATATGCATACAGGTTCGACATAATCGATTTCTTATCAGCATATTCGAGGTCAAATATCTATTTTTCCAGTGTGTAATAAATTTGCTTACTTTAAATATTGTCCTTGCAACAATTTCTAATGGTATCGGTTGTTACTACCTTCTTCAAATTCGTCGTCACTGATTTATCAGTTTTACGATAAAAAAAAGAAGGTTATCAGCAATGAGTGACCCTTACATTCGGGTCGAAATGATCTAGACAACACAAATCAAATCACACCGTAATAGAACGGTGATTATACACGATGCGGTAGTCCATAAGTATTCATGGATATAAGAACTGAATTTGAACATAAGCTAATTCAAAATAAATTTGGCATAAAGAAGCACGTCAAGACGTCACATTCCACCGAGCTACATGGAAATACCTAATGGAATTTCAAAAGATGTCATACACATATTGCAAAGGAAGGTAGCTAATGTGTGCTATCACAGGATATGTGAACATACATCAACTAAACTAGATTCAGGTTTTTTTTATCTCAAATATTGTGAAATCTACGATGGCCGATAGCAGCCGACACAAAACAACTACAATTTAAAACATTTATGTACATGTACACTTTTTAAAAACTGTACATGTACACAATACAACTACAATATAAGACATTTATGTACATGTACACTTTTTAAAAACTGTACATGTACACAATACAACTACAAGTGCTATTAACATTCCTTAACGGTTCGGGTCAACTTGATATTTCACACGTGTCTGATACGGCGGCTGATAAACGACAAGGACATTACTAGATTCCCCAGAAGTCAAACAGTACTAGACGGTCACAACTCAGAGGTATACCAAATATTCAATAATTTTTATGTGATTTTTGGAGTAGTGGTTGGAGACAAAACAAAAATATATAGTTACTTAATTTGTATAAAGAATTATAATTTTAACTCAATAACCCAACATACGTAATTTAAAGTGTTCCATGTGACATATTCACAAGCTTGAAGGCTATTGGCTTTGATATAAAACACTAGTTATTTTCTTAGCGCAATCTTCATACAACTTTTGTTACAGTAAGTATTATATTATATTTGACTTTAGTACTCAACTATTCACACTGAACAATGCAACGTTCTACTTTATGACTCCAATCCATACATTAGGTAAAGCCCACATAGATATGCGTATAACGATGGTTTATGTCTGTTTCATTTCTTTCAAATTAAAAAATAGGACATAAGACCAATCAACATACAAAGAAAAGATTAAGAAAATGAAACACTTGATAATAACTAATGTCAAACTTTTCTATTATATCCATTTTCAGGTAATGAGATTTAGTCGCCTTCAAGCACAACTGGTGAAATATTTTTTTGCACAGTCTACGTAGCAACACTGTGTGGTGACCTTTATCGCCTCTTCGCTGATTTATGAACATATTCCCTTTCCTTGTCGTTTGGTCTTTATATTCACCGCCGTATCAGACACGTGTGAAATATCAAGTTGACCCGAACCGTTAAGGAATGTTAATAGCACATGTAGTTATATTGTGTACATGTACAGTTTTTAAAAAGTGTACATGTACACAAATGTCTTATATTGTTGTTGTTTTGTGTCGGCTGCTATCGGCCATCGTAGAAATCGGCTAGTAGCATTAAATAAATTTAAATGACAAAATTGGAGAAAGCTTGACAGACTTGTTTAGTTGTTGAAGTTGAGAAAATGGAACAAATGATAACAGGGTTGTGTATAATTACATCTATATATAAGTCATGTGTAACTTCATAAAACGTACCCGAACCGCACCACAGTAGGCCATCCCCTTGCTGCCACCTCCTTCAAATACAATATTTTCAAATGGATAATCATACTCTGCTGGGAGGATTTGTCTAGCTTGTAGCTCTAACTCTGTAGGGGGTTCCGGTGGTAAAACATCAACTGTAAACATATATGATTGATGAAGCTTTTTTACTGCTTACTTAATAGCGAGCGCAGCGAGCTCTTTTTGTATCGTATGCGTGGTTTATATATAGTTCAAGGAAAAATCTATATATAGTAACACAAAACGAAACTACAATACCATGCGATCTTTTTTCTTTTCATCGTGCAGAACGGACTTTAAAATTTGCGACGCTCTGATTGGTTTTTAATAGATCAGAAGTTAAAAAATCACCGTTTTAAACATCTCTGTGGGAATAGAAAATATGTTCACATCGTAACTTATTTGCATAAACTTTGCAAACGTATTTGTTATGGTTTGAAATGTTTCTTTGTTAAAACGGGTTTAACAATTAAAAGTTTTCGATGTTTTTGACGAATCAGGTTAAGCAATACAAATATTTGTGGTCTGAAAGTCGCGGGCTTCAAAATTTTCTACATTTTGATTGGTTGAAAAGACCGGAACAGATCAACTTCGCCGGGAATAAGAACACGAGAGGGTAAAGGCCTACTGATCGACAAGAGTAGCTATTGAGCGAATTTTACCAGTATTGACCTCTCACAGACAGGTATTATGTTTGACTCTAAGGTCTACTGATTTCAAAAATGTCACGTGTTTATGCCCCCTAGGTAAAAATAACACTTGAGTGTACATCAATCATCTTTTGAGTTCTTTCTGATGAAACCATTAGGTCTTATATTCAATCAGAATAAGTTTATTGAGCAAGTTTATTGGCTGAAAATGGCCAATTTTAGCAAGGCAAGCCTAAATATCAACTGTGTCACATTGTATGTACAGTAATTACATGTAATAGCTTCTAGCCAGGCTATAAAATCATTAATTAAACATCCATTCTAGAAGATTTCCTACACTGTAAATATTTTGAGAAATCTTGTCTAAGATATTTAGGAAATAAATATATACATTATAATTTTGAAATATTTAACATAAAACAAAAAAAATATTCAAGAACAGAGCAGCCTCAAGATTTTCTAAAAGAAAATATAACAAAACATAACAAGCAAGTCAACATTATTACCAGGGTTTTTGCCAGCTATTTTGGGAAAGGGTTCCTGAGCAGGAATTGGGAAAATATCATTGGCATTTGGCAAAAATTGGGAAATTTCATCAGTATTCCCACATTAAGGGAAATTTAAGTTTTTATTAAATAAAACCTTCGATGTGATTTGCAAATTTTTTTCATCTAGCTGTTTCTTACAGTAAAATGTAAAGCAATAAATAGATACGTCACTTGTTTATGCTTTCTGTCCATCTATACCGGTTAAGAGAAGACTTATATAGGCTAAGCCTCTTGTCTCATCCAATTGTTAAAAAAAATTGTCCAATAAAATTTGTTGAAATAAATAAGTCCCCTTTACATGTACCAGGGATGTGTAGTGGACTATGCATCCCTGCATGTACAATGTCTTTTTCCATTAACGTTATTATTTCTAATATTTGTTCTACCTTTAATTGTATCTGTATTTAATAAAGGCGTTAATTGCACTTATTTTTTTTGTAAACAAATGATATATGGTAATAAATGATAATTGCATACTTGCCAACCTTTTTATTTTTTTCATGTGTGCTCAAAATAAAATATTACAAAATATAAATAATTATAAAAGATGTGTAAATAAAAAAAAAACACTTTAGAGTGTCAAATTGCCAATTGTCTTTTTAGTTGTTTCATGATGAAATCATTAGGTTACAGAATAATTAAACAAGTTTAATTACTGGCTGAAAATGGTCAATTCTAGCACGGACTTAAAAAGCAATTTAATTCCATGGTCTGACCTATGAGTCGAAAGGTGTTAAGGGGACGTAGCTCACGAGATCTGGAAAAATAAGCTACATATAGATATGATTCCTCAATCCACCAAGGAATTAGACTAGACCTGGGTCCATGACTTTCACTAATTTTTATACGTTTCACTTTTCGAAACGTGTGAAATAATCAGTTCTTAAATATGAAAATGAACAATTGATTAACTGATTACATGTAACGTTTTAGTCGATTTTCAACTACGTGTATAATCCATTCAGATACGTGGTCACTCGCAAACTCTACTTACAGGTCATTCATATATCTGGTCACACACTCTAATTATACTATAAACCACTGAGATACCTGGTCACAATCACCGGTAATAGTTCACTGAGTTACATGTACCTAGTAGGAACAGTAACAGACGCACTACCTATGGATAACTGAGATGCCTGCTCACAAAAAATATAGTTCACTGAGATACCTTTACACAAACACTTACTATAGACCACTGAGATCCCTGGGGTAACAAACTCTCACTATAGACCACTGAGATACCCGGTTACAAACACTTATCATAGATCATTGAGATACCTGGTCACAAACACCTACATTAAGACTATTGATGCAACACTTCCTCAGAGATCAAGTCCAGTCAAGATAAATATTTTTAAAAAAATCACGTTTGTGAGGTGTTTACATAATTGAGTTGTTAGTTTGTAAACAACTACATGACGAGCACTGCTTTAATATTTTATTTGCATTATATATATTTCATAGCTCTAGGCATCGAGATAAAATTTACACAATTATATAATATGTACACTGTAGTATGGCATGTTTTGACTGTATTGTATTGGAGGTAATTTAATAGCCTTGCATCTGTGAACACGTCAGGTTTCTTTTCAGAATCTGAAATCATTCATATCATCTTGAGCAAATCTAAATAATTTTATAACTGACACACCGTTTGTGCATCCAANTGTGGCAGGTTTTGACTGTATTGTATTGGAGGTAATTTAAAAGCCTTGCAGCTGTGAACACGTCAGGTTTGTTTTCAGAAGTTGAAATCATTAATATTATCTTGAGCAAATCTAAATAATTTCATAACTGACGCACCCTTAAAAGCTTTTAACTTTTTGATGTATTGGTTTTGTGCATCCAATAAAGTTTGTTATAGTCATGAATATGAATAACATATCTTCTGATGTCGATTACATTTTAGATTAATTTTAGAAATACAGTTTGAAGATGCTTCACGATCTGTAGATTTCTTTACACACATGTACCAGGCCACCAATTGTAAAAGTTCAATTTATAATAACTCTGTCAATTTTCAAATATCTAGCTGAAGTTTGGAACATAGGTGTATAGTCATATGGATAACACACAGGGGCTCAGTTTCAGGATACTAGTACTTTCGGTTAATAATAAACCTATACACACCAGTAAATAACAACAACACTTTTTATCCGGTGTTTACACATCCTAAAATCTATACCCTCAATTTTCATAAGGTTTACCATTTTGATAACTAAATGTATCTAAAATTGAAACATATTGTATGAAGGCTCTTATGATTATAGGAATTTAAGGGGTTTCCCCTGTCAACTACAAGTAAATGTAGAGATTCAACTGGGGAGAGTTTACTGTGATAACTTGTCATGAATAACCTGAATGTACCAGTATATGTGTGCAATCTTATTTTTGACAATTATATTGCAGAATCATAATTAATAATAATGGAAAATTAAGGATCTTTATTTTACTGGTATATATCTTGGAATGAAAAAAAAAATCATAATTAATTTTTACACATTGCAAATTGTAGTTCTGAGTCTGGCATACACTTGGATAATACCGTTATATTAATTTCAAATGTAATAACAAAAGCAGAAGGAGAATGTAAATATAAATGCAAAGGTTAAAACATTTTAAAAATGGAAAAAAAATCTTGAAAGAAAAGGTTACCGGTAGTTGTGCTATATATATTTCTATAGTGTAGTGATCATCACACCCGCAACTCTTTGGTGGGAGACCCAGGTTCAAATCCTGGTGGAAATACTAGTACAACTTGAAATTATGTTAATACTACAAACATATATAAACATAAACTTCTAATTATATACAACTCATTTCCCATTACTAGGTACATTTCATATGAATATATATATATATACTTGTTAATTTGTTCTTTACTGCATACAACAACAGGACATTCGAACATCTTGGTAGGCAGTGAGTATTACATTTATGATTTGTGAACTTAAGCTAGAAAATGGATATTCTTTGTTTTCAAAGTCTTGTTGTTGACCTCTTGTGAATGCCATTTGTCCATCATAGTAACCAATTCAGTTATGCCGACGCCATAAAAAGGCGGGGGCATATAGTGTTGCCCATGTCTGCCCCGTCCCGATTCAATGTAAACACCCGTCCCGTCCGTCCCATCCTGATTCAATGTTAACACTTAGCAACATCATTCTTTGACAGATTTTAGTCAAACTTTATTAATTTTATTAGGTACAACCCTCCATAAATTTGGGGGGGGGGGGCATATAGTGTTGCCCATGTCCGTCCCCGTCCCGATTCAATGTAAACACTTAGCAACTTCATTCCTTCATGGATTTTGGTCAGACTTTGTGCAAAGGTCAAGTATGAGTATACTTCGGACATTGTTGTGTTGAAGGGTTCCAAGGTCAAGGCCAAGGTCACTGTTGTTATATATACATATAGAAAATCATCAACTGATTCAATTCAAACACTTAGCAACTTCATTCCTTCATGGATTTTGGTCAAACTTTATGCAAAGGTCAAATATGAGCATAGTTCGGACATTGTTGTGTTTCGGGGTTCCAAGGTCAAGGCCAAGGTCACTGTTGCTATATATAGAAAATAATCAACTGATTCAATTTAAACACTTCGCAACATAATTCAATATGGAGATAATTGAAATGGTAATTACATACCGAAAAAACATGAATATTAAAATCAACTTGAAGTGTAGTACCTTGTGTGTTTGCATGTTTCAGGGTATCAAGATCAAAGTGGTTGTAACTTTTTATAGAACACTGAAACTAATTTTACATGGCAGGGGGGCATTTATGTCTTACAGACATTTTCTAGTTTGAAGGAAAGTTCCATGGACAAATGCAAGCCAAATTTATGAATTACATGTGGATCTAATCTGCAAGGGGTTTGAGCCCAACAGAGGTAAATTGACTTAATTTTCAACGGTCTAATTCAGGCACAGAAATGCAAGATTCAATTACTTTTCATAGATGGAATTAAGGTCATGTAGGCCTGTTCCAAATTTAGGATTTTGTTACTACCTCTGGATCATTCATTCCTCCTTTAGAAGGGGTTAATGTTTAGGCTCAAACAAAACAAAAGGTTTTCATGCAACATTCCAGAGAATCTCATTTTAATTTATTGGATCAATATATACTTACAGGGTAATAACAAATGTAAGAATTTAAATGAATTTCTATGCATTTCAATGGTTATTATTCTGTCAAGAATGTGGTCAGGATCCCATGACCATAACAGGAAGAATTAAAGTGTTTGTGATCTTTGCCAGACTATTAATTAAAATGATCTTCATGGATACAAAGCAGGTGTTAAAATGTTCCCTACGGTCCACAGGAAAATTTAAGGCAGGTCATGATCAGGTTATCCAAAGCATATGTAATCTTGTTTTTGGCCTTACTGTTGTTTTATATTGGGAAAAAACACTTTTGGGTACATGTATATTTGTTTACTCTCAGTGGGAACAAAGTTGGTTGGAATGACCATCATGTGACTGGATTTTATGGTATGAAAATTAAGAACCTGGCCCTTCCCTAGGGCCTATAGGGAGGGGCAAAAGAGGGAAAATTGGCTGAAATTTCAACATTCTTCTTCTTCAGATCCAGATATGCTAGAATCAAACACTCTTCATGGATGGAAAGGTCCTAAGTCGCTATAACTGAAATTGTTATTTCATTTTCACTGTGTTATTCATTCCTCCACTATATCCTTTTTTTCGAAAATGTCAGCGATATATACTGTATGTCAGACAGATATGTACCCACCATAAATGATATCAATTATATATGTTGGTCACTCATAATATGAATTTCTCTCAAGGAATTCAAAAAAACGTTTTATTTTTTTACGGATTATATGAACTTTTTTTTTGTTTTTGTGTGATTTTTACATCACTGCAACAAATAACATCATTGCTTTACAACTCAGGTCCATGTATCTCATGTATAACTTGGTGAGATCACTGTTGTATATTTATCACTTCTCTTTTGTTATTGCAATGGTCCTGTTTATATCTATTGCAGCATCTGGATTCTGAAGATACTGGTACAAAATATGGTCACAATATAATGCTTTCTTACATCAAAATGTAAATGATTAAATTTTTATCATATGGTTATTCAAACAGAATGGATATTGCAGCCATTGCTATTGGAATATTGAGAAATTGAATGCTGGTTTAGAGGTACAAAATGGGTACCATAGCTACCTAATACCGATTGAGAATCATCTTTGAGCTAATTTTATTGCCTTTGCATGTCACCTACAGACCAGGTAAAGCTTGTAATTGAAGGATGCTGTATTGATCAGTTGTTTGTTGTTTGTCTGTCTGTTCTTAGAAATGACCATGCGCTTTGCAGGCCATAAAAAGATTAATACACATACTAACTGTGATTGGTCCCAGGGTCCTGTCACCCCAGCATGGTGACCTTATAACATTGAAATGGTTGAAATAAGTGTCCTATAATGAAAATCACCTACATTGTACTGGCAATCCAGAGGCACGGTAGTCTAGTGGTACGACACTGGGCTCGTGACCAAGGGTTTGCGGGTTGGAGTCATGGCACGGCACTGTGTTGTATCTTTGAGCAAGATACTTAGCTCCTCTTGTTCCAGTCTACTCAGCTATAAATGAGTATGTGGTTGGGCAGTGCTATAATTGTAGAATGCTAACTGTGAGTGCCCGAATGGCAGCAATGGATGTATGGTCCCCAGGGAGTTGAGATTGATATTGGCTGGTTGCAAAGGTCCTATCACTTCAAGATGACCTACGAACTAGGTTGTAATTAAGCGGTATATAGGATCCTCAAATTATTATTATTATTATAGACAAATACCAAAGTTTTCCCCAGCCAAGTCTGTCACCACCCAGGAATGCACTCATGCAAGGGACAAGGCTAAGATATACAACATAGTAATAAGTGAACTACATTAATGTATAGTTTACAGGTTTATTTTGAAGAAAAAAATACAAGCCCAAATCATGTTTCATAGTGAACATAGACATTTTTTACTAGTTCGGGGCATCGGGCTAGGCAATTTAGGCAAACATCCATGAACTAATTGGGGACGGGGGACTAGGTTTGCACCGGCCCCCTCTGTCCGTCCGTCAGAAAAGTTTGTCAGGGACATTTGTTCAATACTCTTTCACCTGGGGTAACCAGATTTGGTGAAAAACGACAGCTTTGGATGGCAGCGTGCACAGTGCAAGAACTTAGAAGGTCACTCCAGTTGTATGACCTCACTGTGACCTATGCTTTAACCAGATTTGGCGTGCAAGGTTTAGGTCAGAATATTTGTCGCATCTTTGTCCTAAGGAGGGATTCTGTTCGTTTTTTAATCTTAAAGCCCTTAGCTGGGGCGCTGCAGGGGCCCGAGATCTACACTATCATCATTAAGGTGTCCGAACTATGTGGGCTCGCTTATAGACAGTGCCTATTTCATATTAAATGTGTTGTTTAAGTTCAAATTTAAACATGGAAATATACTTCGATATACACAAAGTCTTGGTATATGTATTTATCTTTCCAAACATATATATATATACATATATGGTCAAAGTAGATACAGATGCAATCTTGTTTCATTGATGTATAAAAGCAACACTTAGGCACATTCTTTAATAAAATCATATTTAAAACGTATCTATCTGAGAAATAGCGCTACATATTTCTACTGATAAATTTAATGTTTACAATAAGTTGTATATTCTAACTCATATGTCACACATACTATCGAGATGATGTCTGCACAAGAAGAACATTTCAGCTGCACATACAACAAAAACATTTTCACTGTAATAAGAAAAATACTTTACATTCATCCAGATCTGCGTCAGGTTCGAATACTTGATGGCTAACTGTATTCCCCATGTCCTGCAGTTCTACGAAACAAAACAAAAACAAAGAAAAATAGAAATGATGTGGGGAAAAAACATTAAAAGAATAAATACTGAAGTGTCAACAAAACCACGATTCTAACTCAAAATCCACAAAGCTAGTGTAAAAAATCAACAAAGGAAAGATTCATATGGATACCCTTGAAAAGTAGAAGCTTGTCCAAAGTTTTCATCAATCTGCATCTTTGTAAACGACATCTATCGTAGTAGTCATGATGTTCGGAGCAAGTTCCTGAGTACCGAATCAACTGCGCTAAGTAAAGAAGGAAGGTAGGGGACGTAGGGGACGTTAGGGATGTTGCTATCAAGAGAGGGAAAGTTCATGATCGGAAAGACGAAATCGCCCCGCTAATCTTACAGTTTAGTAGAAAGCCATGTTGTAAATAAAGATAGAGATCACACTTACTTTTAGGGAAAGAATAGTTGTCAGTGTAAATATTGATATGGATATTGTTCTGGTACGAAATGGTAATGAATAAAAGGAGGAGAGTTTTTGAAATGAGGTATTTTAAATACACATATGAAGAGGTTTTCATGCAAAATTGATGAGTAATACTGAAAAGAATCAATCTATCCTAGCGTTCTACAAAGAAGAGTTAATGTAGTCCATGGTAAATAGACCTGGTAAATAGCTCTGTCCTCAAATGTCAAACAGAACGGAAACGTAAATGGTTATTTATAACTTTGAATATGGTGATATAAATTCCGATTGACACGTGAAAAAGTGACTGCATTATCACAGGTATGGTAATCCCCATATATTAGTGCACCCGAGAAAGTTTATCCTTATATACAGACGTTCAAAAGAAAAGAAAAAACATAGTTAAAATTACACAATCTAACTATCCCATGAAGTACGGTCCCTGGTACCTGACGTTAAGTATGAGTGATATATATAACACTGTATTATGTAACGTTTATCCAGATAACATTTAACACGTGCAATATGATTGGATATAAACCCCAAACCGGGTAAAATTGTATCCTTTCTTAGTTGATTAAAGAAAATAAAACGTTCGTTTTGTATTTACTCGGCACATCCTTAAATACACTCGGTGAACCTCGTGTCATTGTACAAATCGAAAATTAATTAACTCGAGTTAGATTTACGTGATAACCAATGATCTTTTATTAGGAAACCTCTAATACCTTACATACTACAATATGGTTTGTTTGTTACAATATGAACAATAAAATGCTTTTTTATTGAAATGTAAATATGAAAACATATAATTAATACATCTACATCATTCAGATACACTTTCCTCGAACACATGCATAATCATTTGTTGTTCGATTTATTTGGGCTTTCCTCCCATATTAAGAAGATTGAATGTGACAATGATGCAGGATATGTTCGCAACAACTTATGTTTTCAACAATTTATAAATATGGATTGACTGCTTTTAGTTTAAACCGTATTTATTTCTGGTAATAAACAATGCATTATATGACTTCTTTCATGTTGGCTGTTTTATTTAATTTACATATAATATAGACAAAGTTAAAAAGCAAATTTCATACGAACAAAGTAACCACAGGAGTCAAAAACAAACCAGATAAAAAATAATGACTTTAATAACTCCAAACTCAAATGATTAGGAGCAAATTGTGTACATCGGACGTGTCTTGTTCATCGAAAATGGCAC